TATATATATTCTATTCATTTTTCATAGAATATGACCAGAGAACCCCCAAAAACTTAGCCTTAATCTCTATACAAGGGTTACAAAGAAGATTAACATCCCAGGTACGAAATCAAGAAGTAATAATATTAGAACACATTAGAACAATCCCTACGACTTAAGTATCGCTGTATCACCTCTCTTTTTCTTTGTAGTTTGAGTTTTGGAAGGTACTTCATAGTTAAGAAAATGCCTAATTTCTGTATTTAAGATTTTAAATGTCAAGGAAGGTTGATAAATTCATTTCCTAATAGTTAGAACTCACAGGACGGTGATCGAAAGCCGTGAGTTCGATTTATTTCACTTTTAGTGGACTGTTTTGTAGTCCACTTGTGTTGGCCTCTTATGCTGATGTTTTATAGCATTTTGGAGGATAAAATGTATGGGGAAACAACCACATAATGACGGAATGGTGGGCTGGTAATTCGTCATTATATTTTTAGGTTGTTTGGCACTACTTTGGTTGTCGTTTTAAGTATGAAGTAGTTAGGGTGTGGGCTGTTTTGTGGTATATGGTGATGGAGATAAGGTTGAAAATGATGTATACATGTTTTTATTGTTGTGTTCTTGTTGTTGTTGTTGGTATATGGTATTGGAGGAGGGCCTTGTTACAGGGGAGATGCTGCCCAAATTTACGTAAACGAGCTACTAGTTTAAGTTGCGGACTTAGCCTTTACTCAGTACTGATTTTGAATCTCCTTATGCTGTGGTAGATTGGGTTGAGCTGTTTGAAGAATTTCTTGGAAGTTATTAAGGACTCAACGGAGTTAAGGCTAAACCTTTCCTTTATTTTGGCATGATCCTGTAACTATATGTGTTTGATAACGAGGCATAAAGAGAAGTTTGTATTCCTGAATTTATGTACATTATCCTAATCTCATAAGCTACAGTATTCTCCCTTATCAGAACTTCATATTCAGTTTAGTTTTGTCTTCTTTCAGCCAAGAGAGCAGAGAGTCTATATATATACAGTATTACAGTATGTTCACCACCATCAAGCTATAATCGATGGGCAGGCCCCTATTGGGCAACCTCTGATCAGATGGTAAGTTATATACCGAGCCTATTGTGTCCGAGCGCCTATGAGCGAGCCCAGAATGGCCAAGATACAGAGCCTAGTATGGCCGAGCGCCTATGAGCGTGCCTACTATGGCAGAGCAGTTACACATACCGTGCCTTATAGGGCCGGACAACTATTTTACTTACTATATTGAGAGAGATGAGTAAGTATCAGCAGGCAAGCATATTTTCAAATTATATTTGACTCCCAGGTACTTTTAGTTATTATATTATCAGTTCAGTTTCAGCTTTCAGTTATTTTGTTGCCTTACATACTCGGTACATTATTTCGTACTGACGTCCCTTTTACTGGGGACGCTGCATTTCATGCACGCAGGTCCTGATGGAAAGCTGGATAGACCTTCCCAGTAGACAAAGTCAAACATCAGCTTGGTCGGTAAGCTCCACTTTTTAGAGTTACCAAGTCTATACCTTGGAGTCCATTTTATATATACATGTTTGATGGGTAGGTCGAGACCCTGTCCCAACCATGATACAACTCAGTTATCCTTAGAGGCTTGTAGACGAGTCATGCATATTTTTTATATCAGTATTGTGACTTTACTAGCCGTATGTAGATGTTTAGTTTGGTATTGCTAGTTGTAGACATTATTTTTAGATGATTCAGAATATGGCCTCATCAACCTAAGTTGAGGGTTACCCCTCCAGAGTTCACAGTTATAGAATTATACGCTCGGGCAGAGTATGGCACTGGGTGCCGACCATGCCTCTTCAGGTTTGGGGCGTGATAGGAATGGTAGGCCAAATGCAGAATGCATCTTCAAGAGGCTGGATAGGATCTTTGTCAATCTTCCTTTCCAGAATCTCTTCCCAAATATTAAGGTGGAGAACCTTATAAGGACTAGCTCTGATCATGCCCCATTTATTGATGAGTTGTGGGGAAGAGGCTATGTAGTTTGTTAAACCATTTAAGTTTGTCAACTTATGGGATAGACATGACACTTTCAAAGATGTGGTAAAGCAGAATTGGGTGGTAAACTTTTTTGGTGATCCTTTTTTAATGTTTAAACAGAAGTTGAAAAGAGTGAAAACTGCCCTATCTCAATGGAGTAAACTTACATTTGGAGATATCTTCAAGCAGCTAGCTATTAGGGAGGATATTTCCAGGGTTGATGAGATGCTATTTGAAGATGAGCCAACTATTGAGAATATGATTGTGCTTCAACAGGTACAAGCTGAATTAAAGAAGTATCTTAGCATTGAAGAGCAGTACTGGAAACAAAAGGCAGGAATGAATTGGTTTGCTGGAGGTGATAGAAATACAAGATTCTTTCACACTCATGTGAATGGCAAGAGGCAGAAACTGCAGCTCAAAATAATTCAGAATGGTGATGGTGATTGGCTTGAATCCGAAGATCTTATGGCTAATGCTGCAGTGGAGTTCTTTCAAAAATAGTTCACACATGAAGTGGATACTGCAAGCTTTGAGTTACTTAATAGTGTACCTAGTACGGTGACTATTTATCAGAATCTGGAAGTGTGTAAGTTTCCTACAATAGAAGAAGTCAAGGGTGAAGTATTTGCATTGAGTGGGGATAGTGCAAGTAGACCTGATGGCTTTATTGGGTTGTTCTATAAACACTGCTGGGACATTGTGGGAGAAGACATCTTCAAGCTGCTGCAAGAGTTCTATGGAGGGGCATCATTGACAAAATCCATAACACATACTAACCTTGTGTTGCTGCCTAAGAAACCACAAGTGCAAACATTCTCAAACTTAAGGCCTATAAGTCTAAGTAACTTCATCAACAAGGTAATTTCTAGGGTGTTACATGACATATTGGAGAAGATACTACCATCATTGATTTCTCCCAACCAATATGGCTTTGTGAAAGTAAGGAGTATATTTGAAAACATATTGCTCACTCAGGAGATTGTCACTGATATAAGATTGAGAGGGAAGCCATCTAATGTGGTGATCAAGCTTGATATGGCAAATGCATATGATAGGGTGTCTTGGAAATACCTACTGCATGTGTTGCGGAAAATGGGGTTTGCTGAGCATTTTATCAACATGATATAGAACTTATTGGCCAATAATTGATACTCAATACTAATCAATGTTCAAGCTCTAAGATTTTTCAAGTCCAGTAGATGGGTGAAACAAGGTGATCCTTTGTCTCCAGCATTGTTAATTCTGTCTGCAAAGGTGCTATCAAGATCATTGAATAAACTGTTTGAAGACAAGAGATTTATAAGATTTGGAATGCCAAAGTGGACTGATCCATTAAACCACTTGGCTTATGCTGATGATACAATAATTTTTGCTTCTGCTGACCCTTACTCTTTAGGGAAAGTGGTTGAAGTGCTCACACTGTATGAACAAACTTCTGGCCAGCTGATCAACAAGACAAAGAGTTCTTACTATATGCATACAAAGGTGGCAAAGAACTTAGTTGATTCTGTTGGTGGTATAACTGGATTTCAAAAAGGCAAGTTCCCATTTACTTACCTAGGGTGTCCAATCCTTTACACAAGGAGGAGGAAGGATTATTATAATGATCTCATTAAGAAAGTGAAGGCAAAACTACACTTTTGGAAAGGGAAACTACTGTCTTTTGGAGGCAAAGCTACTCTTATAACTAGTGTGCTTCAAAGTTTACCTACTCGCATCCCGTCAGTCTTGGATCTTCCTGATAATGTTCTTGAATATTTGCACAAGATGTTTGATACATTCTTTTGGAGTACTAAGGAAGAAGGCAGAAGTAGGCACTGGACCAAGTGGCTAAATTTGTGTCTCCCTAAGGAGTAAGGAGGGTTAGGGTTCAAGTCTGTATTTGATGTTTCCAAAGCCTTGTTTGCCAAGTTATGGTGGAGGTTTAGGACCTTTAAATCATTATGGTCAAAATTCATATGGAATAAATATTGCAAGAAGGAGCTGCCTATTGTGGTGCAATTTAGAGAAGGATCCCATGTGTGGAGGAAAATGTTAGAAGCAATAGATGAGGTTGAGCATGAAATTCTGTGGGAAATGAATAGGGGTTCCACAAATGTTTGGCATGAAAATTGGACTGGAATTGGAGCTTTGTATCGTGTTGTCTCTCTCCCCCCCCCCCCCCCCCCAGAGTTCAATATCAATGAAGAACTACAGGATGTGGTAGATTTGAGGACTGAGAATGGATGGGATGATCAACTTCTGGATCAAACTTTTCCAGAAGACATACTTGAGCACATAAGTAAAGAAGTATACTTTGATCATAGTGATGAGTACTGGGATACACCTAAGTGGATGCCAACAACTTCAGGTAAATTTACAGTTGGTAGTGCATGGCAAATCCTGAGGCATAGGGATCCTACAAATCCGGAATACAAATTATTGTGGACTAAAGGCTTACCTTTAAAAATATCTTTCTTTATTTGGAAATTATGGAGAGGAAAGGTTCCAACAGATGACTTATGGAGGAGAAATGGACATCTCACTGTTTCTAAATTTTGGTGTTGTTTACCTCCACAAGAGGAAACACTTCAGCATATTTTCCTTGCAAGTCCTACTGCTTCTAGAGTATGGAAGGTCTTCTTGCAGGCTGCTGGGGTGATGGTGAATTTGGTGCAGATTCATCAGGTGATTAGGGCATGGTGGAGTGCTAATTGTTGTGCTAAGCTCAGGCCATTGTTCCAAGTTGCCCCGACCTTTAATTTTTGGGAACTTTGGAAGAAGAGGAATACTATGAAGGATGGAGTAGGTGTTGTCTCTTTTAATAGGTTGGTACATAAGCTTAATAAAACACTATATTACCTTGCTAGAGTGAGATATCCTTGGCTACCAAATATTCCTCTAATTTGGCCAGATATGGTTAGATATTTTGAAGGCTATAAGCCTTATGTTATTACTAAAGGAGTTACATGGCAGCTGCCTTATAAGAGATGGTTCAAGTGCAATACTGATGGTGCTTCTAGAGGAAATCCTGGGCCAGGCTCATATGATTTTTGTGTCAGGGATAATGCTGGAGATGTGGTGTTTGTGAGGGCAGAAGAGATAGGGCTTTCAACTAATATAGTAGCTGAGGCAAAGGCAATAGTGGAAGGGCTTTCATATTATATTCAAATGCAACTGCATCCTCTCATCATTGAGACTGATTCACTGGTGCTGAAGAAGTTTATTGAGGGTGAATGGGAGGTACCTTGGAGTATTGAGAAATAAGTGAAGAAGATTAAGTAGATGAAGGAGCATTTCAATGTGATCTTTCATCATGTTCTAAGGGAGGGCAATGATGTGGCAGGAGTTTTAGCTAACCTTGTATTTTCTTTTGCATGTACAATGTCATTTCAATCATTCTATGAATTCCCTAATGTAGGAAAGACACTAATCAACCAAGAAAAGGCCCAAATCCCTAATCTTAGGGTTAGGGTTGCAAGGAAAAGAGCACCTGATTGATGATTATTATCTTGTGTATACTGCCTGACTATAATGGCTTCAAAGTTGGTTTCTTCTATATAGGGTCAAGCTATCATTCAGTGGTATTAGCATGGAAATATGCTCAGCCTGGAGGTGGTTGGACACTGTATGGAATCTCTACTGTAGGCAGGCAGCTCTTTAGGTTATACACAATGCTACAAGGTGAAGTATTCTTAACATATAGGTATTGTTGGGTGACTATCTTTGGACACAACTGTGTGTATTGTGCACTAAACATACATATGTTATTACAAGTTTGTAATAAGGTATTCAACCATGGAAACCTTGGTTTACTCAGACTGATTGCGCTGGACTGTTTTGGACAGTTTAAGTACTGTATGGACTGTATCATTTCTCAGTGGTATTAGCATTATATATTGCGCATTCTGGGGATGGTATATCACTATATGGGAAGGTGTTGTCCTGCTTGTTCTAAATTATAGATAACCCTATGTGTGTAATTGTCTGGTTGTTTGATTTTGACTATGCACAACTAGGTTACAAACTATATTGGGTCCTCGTGGTATGTACTGTCTCATGCCTATTACTAGGGCTCATATTCCTCCTTATTTCATTGAAGATGTCCCATATGCTATGGTGTAGCTATTGTGGATTCATCCATGCCTTCTCCTTTGGATTGCAAAAACTAGCGCCTTGTGAGAGCTTTGTAGGTGCTATTTGGAGTTTTTTGCAACTGGTATGTGAAATCATATGCATCATTATCAGCTGGAAGTCTTTGGCTACAGATTTTGTAATAGTTAGCTTTCATTTAGTCATTTCTACAATTGTAATAGTTAGCTCTAGAAGGCTCCTTTCTTCTTTTATTTTGACAAATTGTAAGACCTGGACCCAGTATGTGATTTATTATATATATATGGATAAGGTGGATTGCTCTGATGGTAAGCACCCTCCACTTCCAACCAAGAGGTTGTGAGTTCGAGTCACCCCAAGAGTAAGGTGGGGAGTTCTTGGAGGGAAGGATACCGAGGGTCTATTGGAAACAGCCTCTCTACCCCAGGGTAAGGGTAAGATCTGCGTACGCACTACCCTCCCCAGACCCCACTAGTGGGATTATACTGGGTTGTTGTTGTTGTTGTTGTAGATACTAGGTGCATAGCCTAGTAGTATATTTGCTAAAAAATAGAATAAGCGATCTATCCAAGGCATAGAAGGTATAGTAAATGAAATAACATGGTGCAAATAAGGCAAATTCCACCCACATGCTTACCCCATGGCCAACGCATATACACTCGTCACCTCGCATATACACCACCCACAACACATAGTCCACATAGCAAATAGACTCGATTCTATCTTAATTCCCTCAAATCAAGGTTAACCACGATACTTACCCCTTTCTAAAATGAAATCAACGATCAACCACAACTTTTCCTTTCGAATTAGCCGCCAAACCAACCGAATCTTACCAATTATTGTTCAAACAATTCAAAATAAGCTTTAGAAACTACCCACGAATTAAAAAGGTTCAATTTTGATCATATTTGAAAACGTCAACCCCGGACCCGCTAGGTCAAAATCCGAGACTCAGACCAAATCCCGATTACCCATTCACCCCAAGCCCGGTTATGTGATTTGTTTTGAAATTCGACCTCAATTTGAGGTCTAAATCTCAATCTTACAAAATCACTAAATTCTACCCAATATCCCTAATTACTACCTTGAAATTCACAGATTGAAGTTAAAGTTCATGGAAAAATATTGGAAATTTATGGAAAAAATTAAAGTTGCTTACCAATGAATTTGGGAAGAAAATATTTTTCAACAATTGCCTCTAGAGAGTTTAGGGTTGAACAATGGTGTAAAATGAGCCAAGTCCCGAAATTTTCCAATTTTACCCAGCTGCACTTGTTCGCAATTGCAGCCATCATAAAAGCGAACCACTAATTGCAATTTGCGATTAGTGTCCGAGCATGAAGAAGTCGTAGCAGTTGCAACAAATCACATTTGCGAAGAGCCCCAGCTAGCATAAGCGACACCTCCTTTGCATTTGCGAAGTTCGCCCTGCCAAGTTTCCAGTCGCATTTGCGACCCAATCATCGCAANGATATCACATTTGTGAGCTCGACTTCGCAAAAGTGGGACTCGCATTTGTGAACAGGTCATCGCAATCGTGATACCCGTAGACCTGAAGCACCAGAAAATGCATCAGCAGTTCAAAACCTTCTGAAACACATCCAAAACTCATCCAAGTCACTCGGGCTCCAATCCGAATATTCACACAAGTGTAATAACATCATACAAACTCGTTGCTAACTCAAATCATAAAAATAACATTAAATATGAAGAATCAATCATCAATATTCAAACTTTTACCTTTGAAACTCATTTTTAAAAATTTCACATAATGTGCCAAAACGCGCGCAGGTCCCCCGAAACCCCAACCAAACACGTGTACAAGTCCAAAAATATCATACGAACCTACCGAAATCGTCAAAATACGGATTTGAGGCCGTTTACCAAAAACATTGACCGCGATCAATTCTAGCCTCATTTTAAGTCAAAAATCACGTTTTATTTCAAATTTCATATAAAGGCTTTCCAAAAAAATTATATGGACCATGCACACAAGTCATATAATATCAAATGAAGTTATGAGAGGTCTCGAAATACAAAAAAAAAGGATAATACTCAAAATGACCTATCGAGTCATCACATTTCATCATCACTTTTTTTGGGTGTCACGTCAGCTTCAATGACGATGTGACTGTCTTACGAGTCATATATTTATGTTTGTTGTTTTGTTATGTTAGATCTATTTGGTGTCAACTTGTATGTGTCTTTCAACTTGTTTGTGTTTAATGTGTAATTTGTTCAATATTTTGGGTTTCATTGCTGCTTTGTGTTGTTACCTCATAGACTAATGATAATTGTGTCTTAATCGCAGCTTGAGTACAATATAATGTTGGTTTATAAATTAGACATAGATAAATTATAACTGGTGGAATATATGGACAATTAAGTCACATAACTGGACATAATTCAGCAACATAACACAAGATATAAGTAAACACATGATGTCCACTGTCAACAACAATCAGTTAAAACTGCCAAAAACATTAATTTATAACCAACATAATTCAATAACATTCAATTAGAACTACCAAAAACTGCTAAGTACAATTACATGGATAAAAGGGATGTCACCTTATAACCCCAAAAAGTGTCACCACCCAGGTAATAACATGACATCCACTGTCAACAGTTAAATAACCTAAAAAATAATATAAGAGTATTGTCACATGCAGTAATTACATCACATTAGACACCAAAAACTATCACAATATTCACAAGTTTAGATCTATGAATTGCTATTTCCTTTTCTTACCATCAACTTGGTCATTCTTTGTCTCTCCAGTTGGTTTCATGTTATAGCAGCATTCCCTCTCCATGTGAGATTCTTTGATGAGTATGGAATTTGTGTTGGCTTACTCACACCATTGGCACTTTTTCCTGTTGGTGCCCCAACTTGCTCCCTCATTAGGAGTCTAGTAGTTACCTCTGACACACTCCTTGGAATTANGGGGGGGGGGGGGGTCTAGATTGTCAAATTCTGGATAATCAAAATTTGAAAATGCAAATATAATGTTGATGAATTGCTTTCTTGGCACATATGGTGTTGGCATAAACTTGTATTGGGGTCTTGCACTGCTACTGGATTGACTTGCTAGACTGGATTGGGGTGCTGTTAACTGCAACTCTTCTTTAATGGTCAGCCTTGCAGAAGGTGTAGATTTGGCCATGTTTCTTTTACTATCTTTATCAAACAATGATCTTAGCCTCTTCTTTATCTTACTTTGGTTGCTTTTCTTTAACATGCTATCAAAGTAAAAAAAATAAATTAAAAGCAAGGAATGCAGTAATATACCAATTAGGTCAAAGTACTAGTGTAGTAGAATCAGATTACCTTTTGACATCCCCTTGAATTATGCCCGGACTGTCCACATATAGAACAAGTCATCACCCTTCATTTTCTAGATTGAGACCACTTCCTTTGCCTACTAGTTGACTCATTCTTTTCTCTAATTTTCTTCACTCTAGGACTACTAGCCATCTTCACCATCACTGGTGGCTCCATTGCATGAGTTGGGTCTACCTTTCAGAACTTCTCTCCTCTAATTGGTTATAACTTATGTGAATAAGTTAAGAGAAAATCTTCCTTGGTGTACCACTGATGAATCCCATTCAAAGGGTCTAATTTCTTATGTAGCAATGCTATGATAGTACAATGACATGGGATTCTAGTGAGGTCCCATGTCCTGAAAGTACACCTTTTTAATTTTAGGTTCACACTGTGCTTTTTAGGTCCTTCATTCACCTCATAACCCAATTCCCCATTGAAGTCAACAATATATTTATATGTAATCTTTAAGAACTAGTTTTACAACTTCATAGTTTGATGACTAAACTCTCATGCCCATATCATCACATCACTTTCATGCTCTCTCAACATATTCATCATTTTAACCTTTATGTCCTCAAGCATCTTTATAATAGGCTTGTGCCTAGCATCCAATATCCATGAATTCAAGGACTTGATTAAGTTATTGTCAACTTGTTGGTTCTTGAATACTGTGTCAAAGTATGATCTACACCATGACTTGGGAGGATACCCTCAACAACTCTTTAATAACTTCTTTATTCAACTTCCCCCAAGTTCTTCAATTGGTCCTTAAAGTCTTCATCATAACTGTTCCATGAACACCACGGAAATTACTTCTTCAACTCCCCATCACTTCATTGCACTAGTTATCCTCCATGTGCCTCACACAGGATCTGTGGGGTACATCGCGAATGACATCTTGAATTGCCTCTATTAAGCCCTACATATGAGTTGTGAAAAATAAATATTTAAGATAGATTTAAAATTAAAAGTAATTATTAAACAACAAAATTTAAAATTTTGGTAAAAGAAAAATGCAGTACCTTCTGCATGTATGACATAAATGTGAATCTTTCCCCCAGTGTGAGGTCTAATGAATTCGTCAACAAGGACAGGAATCAGTTCCAGGTGACTTTCATTTTTTATCCACAATAGCCCAAGCTATAACATAAAAATGCTTCATTGAGTCAACAGCAACAACGATTAAGAGTTGGCCTTTTCCTTTTCCTTTTAAGAATGTTCTATTCAAGCCAATAAAGGGTCTTAGCCCACTATTAAACCCCTAGATCATGAAAATAGATATGCATCCTAGAAAATCTTCTCTTGCCTTTAGCGAGTGCATCCTTGGATATGTTAATTATCACATCAATTCGTGGATTAATTAGCCATAATTAATTAGCATATGCCTCTAGTTTATTATAATTAAACATAAAACTACCATAAAGAATTTTTAAGGTCATTCTTTTGGCTCTCTTACATTTTGAATGACTAACATTAATGTTGAATGTAGTTTTCAGAGCTACTTTTATCTTCGTAACCTTTATCTTGTGATTCTCCTGCAATTTGGTCTTTAGATATTGTGCTATGATAGTATAATCAACCCTATGGTTATCCAAAGAAGGGTTACACTTATGCTTTGCCTTCATTGTTTTAATTCTAACCCCAACACAATTTTTATCCTTAGAAATGTGAAAAATAAAGGGGCAGCTACCTCACAAGTATACCTTAGCCTCTTAGTATCACTTTTAACCTCTACCATAACAATAAGCTAAACAATACATATTTATCACTTTTTGAGCCTCATGTATATCCTTGAATGTCATTTTCTTATACAGTTCCTTGTATTCAGTCAACCTATCAGAAATATCCCTTTTTTTTGTAGTGCAAGTGTCTCTAACTCTTCAGAATCATAATACGACTGTCAACTATCATCTTTACTTTCATTTGAACTACAATTAGTGGCAACCTCATTATCTACCGTGGATGATTCAGTGTGGTCGACAATATTAGGAACATTAGCACCCATTTCACTATCCTCTACAGTTAACAGATTAATGATATTGAATTGGTTAGAAACAAAATATAGTAAAGTCCTAATTCACCAACATACCCTAGCTTGGAGGTATATTCATTTTCTATATTTATGAAACAGAGAAGGTCAGAATCATATTGTTTCTAGGTGTGTACCACTTTTCTTGAATATACCACTTCTGACAAGCTAATCCAGTCACTTCCATGATAGTAGGTCCACATTAACCATCTCTATAATCTGCAAAACAAATAATAGAAAAGGATAAAAAACAAATAAACGAAGAATATACATAAGCATAACTAAGAGACATTTATGAAATTACGATTGGCAATATGGGGGACCACATAATTAAATAACAAATTAAATAAAAAAAGTAAATCACACATCACTTTTTCCAACTAGAAAACCAGTAGAAAATAATAAAGGGTAGGCACATAAATTAGATAAAGTAAAAAAGAAGAGAATAAAAGATTTGTGAAGTTTCACATATTAAAGGAGATAGTTGTGTCTTAACCTCAATAAACAAAGTATACGGGGACCATATTATAAAATTAAGTGAACAAGATTCAATAAAGAAATCAGTAATGTCCAACCTTCTTAAAGACACATGCATTCTAAATTGGGAATCACATACCCTCATTTTTGCTACAAACAAATAATAATAACTAGTGAAATACCCCTCCCAAAAGATATACAACAAACAACTACTGAAAATCTTAAACTAAGAAAATTCAGCTTTAAAACTCGTGAAACTCTAAACCTAAAACACCAACACCACAAATAAACCATAACCCACAAACCAAAAATAATAATACCTCAAAAATCGATGAGAAGTAGAAAGAAAACAATGATGCAAACAAAAAAAATAACAACTACCCTGAACTAAATAACTGGTAGCACCCGGATCAAATACATACATTTACATGAAGACCTAAACCCAAAATCGTCAAGGTACAAATAGAAATCCTAAATTTAGTAACACAAACCCTCGAACAGAAAACAAGTTAAATACAAGAAACGAAGAAAAAATAAAAGAAGAAAACAAAATTAAAGTTTGATAGAAGTAGAAAAGTTGTACCTTTGAAGAATTTTACAGCCAAATCGGTAATAGGAGCTTCATGCCCTAAATCGCATTTCCATTATGCTCTCAGAATAATCTAAAGTATGAGCATATTTCTAAAATAACCTAGTTGAGAGTTTATATATAAATGCCAAAAATGGATCTGGATAACGGGTCAGGGGTTATTTTGTAATGGACTCATTTTTAAATATAGCCTCTAATACATGGTGGACAACCGTTTAAAATACATGCAATTTTATCAGGTTTGGTAACAGTAGGCCTCTAAGTAGGCTGATAGTATAACAAGGGATAATCTTGTACTATTTATCAAATTAAAGGGGTATATTAGTCACTTTGCCCTTTTTAGATACATTCTGAGAGATCCACCTAGCATCATCATCTTCTTCTTTCAAGTCCACTTCATCGATGACCACCGCATCACAACTTTCTCATTCTATTGAAAAATATTACTGCTTTATTTATTACTTCATCCGAAAAAATCCAACAACATTGATGACATGAAACTCTTAAACCCAAATTGAAACAAGCTTGGCCTAAAATAAATACTTTCAGAAAAGGAAAACTCAAATCTTTTTTTCTTTTTAGTTTTCCAATTGCGTTCGGTACTTTTATTGGAGTGAATTTTTGTTACATCCATTAAAGAAAAATGCTCCTTACCAAGATTTTTTTTCAGTTTCTAAAGCTCGAACCCGAAATATTTAATAAAGGTAGATCCTATCCATCCCACCACAACCTTTATTGATAATAGGAAAAATTTCTATTATATAGAAAAAAGAAGATGGTTGACCAATGGTAGATGAGTCATTTCGCTCAGCCATAAAGTGCTTGCCTATTTGTAACTCTGTTATTGAGCTTTTCAGCCACCGCCTCTCTTCGGTCTTCTTTTCTTACCTACTTCTTAGTTCTATTCGCTCTTCTTAGGTGTGGTGTTAAATTTTCAGGTTAGCTATTCTTTCGATTTTTGCCCAAATCTTCTCTTTGTTTTTAAATTTGTATATACTTTTGTAGGTTTCTAAAAAATCTTATAGTATGACTCTTCGTATGAAACAATAGTGGACTTCTCATTATGGGTTTTGAAAAATAAATTTTCTGCTAAATCTTAGCTCATTTTCCCTCAATCTGTCGGATTCTCCATCCTTGTCATATTTGATTTAAATTTCATTTTTTTAAAAGTTTCGATCGGAGTTTTTGGGATTTGAAAGTAAGGCAGGCATAAGGGAGAAGAACTCCCTCAATCTGTTGGATGCTCCGTCTGTTCAAGTGAATACAATCTAATCTTCAATTAACTTTCATGGGAGAACTGCAATTTACTATGAAGAAACCTATCTTCTTTGGTTATAAAAAGTTATAGTGACAATTCATTTTTGTTTCAGTACCAACCTTCTCAATATTCAATTTCTTATGAGAGGCACATTCATAAGGTGAGGATTTTATGTACTTCAATAACATTACATTATTGGCGTAGGATTATCGTTGTACTTAGAAAGATTAAAAAGCATGTGCTTTGTACTTCCTACACAACCCAAGGTAAGCAAGAAATAGTACCTCTCTTCTTGATTTCTCAGTTGCATGTCCATTACTGCTTTATTTGTTGCTGTAAAATTTCGCCTTTCTCCGGCTTTTTGTTTGGGAATGTCTATTACTGATGCTTTTGTTACTTTGTTTTGTTTCATGTTATTTACTTCAGCGTTTTGCTCTTTGTTGTGGTAGTTGTACGTTCGTTTGTATGTTCAGCACTTCGGAGCCCGATAAATGTTGCTCTTTTATTGTCTTTCATTTTTTCTTATTTTTTTCGTATTGAGGAGTCAAAAGGATTCTGTTTTAGTATCTATGTGTGTATATTTGTATGTTTGATATATGGTTTTGTCATGCTTATATAATAGGTACTACATGTTTTATGTTATCTATTGAAAGACTAAATATCTATTTTCTGTACATACTGAAGTGCAATGATTTACAGATATTGTGACAAAGTTCATTGAGAGACTTATTGAGGCTTATTCCAGGTTGCAATATCAGAATAGTTTTCCTGAGGTGATCTATCTTTAGTTGCTTCATTCACTTTTTTTGTTCACATATTACGCTGCTAAGATAACAAGAGTTCCAATATTTAATTCTAACATGTTATCTTTTGTACTGAACGTCAGGTTAAAGTTGTCTTGAGTGTTGATGTTTCTGGTGAAACACTATGCCAAGATCGCGTTAATTTCAGGTCTTCCATTTGAACTATGTCCCATCTCTCTATTTCAATACTGGAATTTTCTTTTCATTAGTAGCACTAACAATTATGCATTCAAAGCTCCATACATAAGTTGGAAATGGATGAAGCTTGATAGATCAGTCTAACTTGTATATTGGTTAAACTAGAAAACTTCTTATAATGAGTTACACTACACTACAAGTCTCTTCTGTGTAGCTTGCTCACCTCTTCTGAAAGAAAATAATAAATTTCCATGAGATTCTCTGCAGTGTTGCGCCTAAGACTAAATACAACTTTTATTAGTTCCTCAATATGGGATGACTTATCATTTTTATTTGATAGAGATAGAAAATTATCAGTATAGAAATGGCATACGAAAGTACTATAGAGCCTTAAAAAATTGGTTCTATACAAGTAACACCCAAATATCTATACTAATCAAGTCCGTATAAGTGCACCAAAATTTCATTAGATATCATAGACATGCCCTCATATGAACAAAATTATTGTCCACAACTTCAAGGCTTTCTTGTTCATTTCCCTTCAAAGTACGCACGTAATTAATAGTCAAGGAATTACATCCAATGGAGCAAGACTTTAGGTTTCATGTCTTTTATCTAAGGTTTAGGCTTAAAGATCTATATTTGAGATTCAAAATTAACCATAATAATTATTTTTTTGGTATAGTCACTCTTCCTTGAAGATTAATTGCACTTTGTGAAAGATGTATCTTTATTCAATTGAATCAAAATTTAGTGAATTACTAAAAGGAACCTTCTTGATAACAAACAAATGCACATGGATGAAAGATTTATATGTCAGTTTTATCTTTGTTATATTTTATTATTTGTAGTAGATTATCTCTTATCGCAGGATACTAAATCTTAGAAACCAAAATAGTCGGAACAAATCGATTGCATGAAACTGACACATTATGCTTAACATCTAGTCAGTTTGAGACGGTTGCATACAACTTATTCAAGGATACAGAATACACTCTTGGTCTTAAACATCTATATGATTTTTTGCCGAAAGATGTAGGACCAAAAATCAAAAGACGAAAAGCCTGAAAATTTTTCTTTTGATTATCTTGGTCTAGCTTTAGCTTAAATGTTCGTGCTTGTCCCTCAATGTGTAATTCTCTTCCTTCCCACCCGGAGTGGGAGTGATGGGAGGACAATGACCCAAAAATTAATCCTGCAATTATGATATCCTTATTATCAGTATTTTCCAATTCTTACAAACTTTCGTCTCATGCACTGGAATTTAGCGCGGAGCTTTGTGATTTGAGGATTTACATTGCTGGAATACTTAGTCTGAACCCTTCACTAGAGCTTCGGTCTATCTGCATTGTTCAAAATGGGGCATATAAGAAACTATGTTACTCATTTAGATATCTTAAATCAGAAATGCTTGATATTTTTCCAGTAAGAAGATTTTAATGGTAATTAATTAATGTGCCTTATAAAGATATCATGCTCAATAACTAACTAATACTAAGTTTATCCACAATCAGAAATAGACTAAGTAATCTCCGCCAACTAGCTCAACCCTGTGAACCTGCAGTTTTAACCACACACCTCACTTACTTGATCTATTATTAATCTTTGGTAAAAGTGAGCAATTAAACATTTTTTTACCATATTGACATGATCTTATATCTCTCTGAACTCATGTTCATATGCTTAATGTTCTTCAACATTCCAATCTGACGTATGTCATCATCCATTGCAATGTCAATCTTGCTATGGATAAACGATGTTGAAGAAGTGATTTTTGTCAAAAGAAATTAGTTTTTCCTCGTAATGTTTTCTAGAAAGGTTGGTTAGAAAACTAATCACTTTGCTAAAAAGGTAAAATTGTACAAATCAGTATTTGGATAGAGTATGGAAAGAACACAGTATGTGCTTTGGATGAGGAGCAGCTGGTTTTCGCATTGATGCATAGCTCTTTCGGATAAAACCTTTACATTTTATTAGTTGCTCAGCTATCCTACTCAGAGTATCACCTGTGTTTAAAGGTTAAAATTCAACCAAACTATATAAAAAGCAAATATGACTTCCTGTTTAAAACGTTGATGCTTGACTACCTACTAATTCAATTCTCATGTTTCTATTCTTTTTCTCTACTCCTTTCAGTTATACCCTTTTCTATTTTTATAATAAAAAAAATAAGGTGAGCTAAGGTTAAGAAATAATCTCTACAGGTATTAATACTTTTTCAAAGATCGCAAAAAGGAGGCTAATCGTTGCACGGTGGCTGCATTACATTTTGCTAATAGATAAATACAACAACAACCCAGTATAATCCCACTAGTGGGGTCTGGGGAGGGTAGTGTGTACACAGACCCTCGGCTCCCTCCCTCCAAGAACTCTCCACCTTGCTCTTGGGGTGACTTGAACTCGCAACCTCTTGGTTGGAAGTGGAGGGTGCTTACCACTAGAGCAACCCACTCTGGCTAATAGATAAATAGTGTATGGGTATATAAGTTAATCTCGTGGATGTAAAGAACATGCCATTTTGCAACCACACAACGTAAACAATATGAATTTCTCATGGATGTAAAGAATATGCCATTTTGCAACCATACAACTTAAACAATATGAATTTCTCATGGATGTAAAGAATATGCCATTTTGCAACCATACAACTTAAACAATATGAATTTCTCATGGATGTAAAGAATATGTCATTTTGCAACCATACAACTTAAACAATATGAATTTCTCATGGATGTAAAGAATGTCTCATTTCGCAACTGCACATTATCCACGAATAGATGTTTTGTTAGCTTTTTTACGGCTTGAAAAACTTTGCTCCTAAAGGAATGTAAATACTATGACATAATTAATATGCAATGCTATATATTTGGTTTGATATTTATTTAGGGTGATTCCATCTCTTTTTTCTACAATTTCATGTGAATAGAGAAATCATAAATGATTATTCCAACTGTACAACATTAGGCCCGTGGTAAACTACCACGCGGGCCAAAACTCATCTAGTACATAAATAGACACTTGAAATTGGCCCCAACTGTCGGTTTGACATTCAAACTGTCACGATCCAAAATTTCATCACAGGCATCGTGATGACACTTAGTTTCTAAAACTAGATTAGTCGATTTTAATAACAACTCAAGCCTTTTCTTTTGTATAGATAATCAAAACCAACATCAAAAATAATTATAACAACCTCCCAAGACTGGTAATACTGAGTTACGAACTCTAACTGAATACATGGAATGATCTCGAAGATCGAATACAATACTGTTCGAATAAGAGTTGATAGCATAATAAAATAGAAAGACTACAAGGGACTGCGATGACCAAGCAGCTCTACCTTGAATCCTTGCGATCACACCTTAATCTCTGTACGAATATGATATCTCTAATACCTGGCTCTGCACAAAAATGTACAGAAGTATAGTATGAGTACACCACAGTTGGTACCCAGTAAGTATCAAGACTAACCTCGGTGGAGTAGTGATGAGGTACAATCAAGATACTCGCTAGTCAAATAACCTGTGCAATAGAGCAGTATACAATAGTACTGAAAAATAACTAGCAATGATAGCAACAAAATCAACCAGTGATATAAACAACAAGGCAGCAAGAACATCATAATTATTGCTCAAACGAATAAGTAACACAAGTATAACAAATAATCAAGTCCTTCAAATATAAATCTTCCACGTATAATTCTTTTCAAATAAATATATTTCGAATATACTTCTTTCAAATAAGTATCTTTCGAATATAACTCTTTCAAATAAGTATCTTTCGAATATAATTCTTTCAAATAAATATCTTTCGAATATAATTTTTTTAAATAAAAATCACTCTGTGTCACCTCATTTCATAATCATAAAATACGGGTCTCAGCCCACTTTCATATTTTCATAACACGGGTCTCAACCCAATTTAATATTTCCACGGCACCTCGTTCCCATATTTCTATCATAACCGCACGGACAACTCATGTGTCAATAATAAAAATTATTATATTTCCCCAGCACCTCGTGCCCACATTTCATACCCCATCTGCACGGACAGTTCACGTGCCAATAATAGAAACCGCCTAGCAATAGCCACATGTTCACAATTTCAACATGAATCAGACTATTATCAAGTTTACCGAAACAACAAGACAAGTTGCACAAGAGATAAAAATAAACACAAAAAAAATCACAACATCACATAAAAATCACCAACACAATAATCCCACATCATCACGTATCATCCCTGACAATAGTCACCCTTATCTCTCCTATAGCCACATGTATCACTCCATAATAATAGCCACCCTTATCCCTCCGCCCTGACAATACTAATAGACAGCCTTATCTCTCTTATAGCCACCCTTATCTCTCCGCCCTGACAATATCAATAGCCACCCTTATGGCTCTTATAGGCACCTTTAGCTCTCCTATAGGCACCCTTATCTCTACTTATAATAGCCTCCCTTATCTCTCCTCCCACACAATACCCCAATACACATAAAAACAGTGATATGCCACAGTCACGACCCAAAATTCCCACTTTCGGGATCGTGATGACGCCTAACATTTCACTTGCTAGGCAACCCAATGTTAGAATTATTTTAACCATTTTTTAACAATTTAATTTAATTAATAATAAAAAAACTAATAACTGGAATAAAATATGAAATAAAGTGAGTAAACCATAATAATAGCGATGTCTAAATACCATCCCAGAACTGGTGTCACAGATGCACGGGCTACTAGAATAATACAAATAAGGGTCTGAATGAAAATAAAGCTGTCTAACAGAAATACACTGCTAAAATAAAGTAGATGGGGACTTCAGAGTTGCGAACGTCGTGCAGCTATACCTCAAGTCTCCTGTGGATAGCTGAATCCGAGCAAATCTACTGTACACCGCTGGGACCAACTCCGGTATTTGCAGAAGAAGTGCCGAGTGTAGTATGAATACAACTGACCTAGCCCATGTACCCACTAAGTAACGAGCCTAACCTCGACGAAGCAGTGACAAGGCTAATGCAGGTCACTTACATTAACCTGTACGCAATAATAATAATAACAACAATATAGTAGAACAGGAATAGAAATTAAACCAGTAAATCATATCAACAATCAAGCCAACTCGGCAGTCATAACCAATTATTACTTAAATTACTTTTTGTCGCGGCGTGCAACCCTATCCCACAATATATTCATATTCAATTC